CGGAAGAGCAACTTCGATTGATCCATCACACGGGGGTAATTCTTAAATAACCATCCGGTTCTTTCTTCATTCGATTCCAATCTATAAAACTCTGCCAACAACGCCATGACCTTGGATACAGATCGGTAAGTCTCCGCTGATGGAATCCCCCCGCGAAACGCATAGTTCCAAGCGTAATCCCAGCCAGCCGACCAAATCCCTCTTCCGCCTCCGAGGCTGTGGATCTTGTCGGCAATCCGGCGCGCCCTATCGGCGGCATCGTGGTCACCACGGGCGGCGCGCGCGGTGGCTACGCGGTTCATCAGAGAGTGGGAGAGGGAGATCAGTGTTCCCCACTGCGCTAAGCGGAGGCATTCTGCGTGGTGAAGCAGGAGGAGAAGCGCGACGAGTTGGATCGATCGTTGACTGGCGGCCATTGATGGCGTTTGTGGGGAGTTACACCGACGGTGAGGAGTCGCCGCCGAGCGGAGAATTTTTGGGCTTGCGTTGCCTAGGATTTTTGAGCCTATAGAGAAATATTCAGCCCGTGGATACATTTAGACGGGCTGCTAACTATTAAAGCCCAATTGTTTCAAAGGTCCAATAGATTAAGGCCACAGTAAAACCATTAGGTTAGCATTACACTTAGCACCTAACATTTAGTATTTACATGTTCAACACCTCAAACTTCATATTTACATGCACGACACCCTCTTCGTTAAGTTTTCGTTTGCATCGTCAACTCTCCTTCGCTCACTGCCTTCAATGCTTGAGGTGTTGAATGTGCAAATATTAAACTTTCAGGTGTTATATATATAAAAACACCTTAATAGGGTTGATTGAAGTTAAGGATAATTCATCTAATCTTAAATAATAAGGATTAAGTTATTGAAGATGAATGATGATAAATGCTGAAGTAAGATATAGAGGTAAGCTTTTAATGTAAGACATAAGGGTTGTGATATAATAATAATAATAATGTTACACTATATAGGAAGAGGATTCTCTAGTCTTTTGTTTATGATTTTAAGGGCTATAATGAAGAGAACCAAGAATGGTCCACCTAGAGGCCAATTATGTTTTGTTGTCTTCCATGGATCCAAAAGGGGAATAAGAAAGAGATCCTGACAAATAAATTTGGCTTGGCTCCACTTAGATTTGCATGGGATCTCATACATTGTCTTTGATATGATGATGTTTAGGTCAACACATATGGGGTTCAGAGCTTAACTAGCTTGTTCATTATATAAACATACAAAAACACACCTCTCTCTCTCTCTCTACACACACACACACATACATGCACATACATACATACAAATACGAATTTGATTGTATGCACTTAAATCACTAAAAAGCTCTATAAATCTATTACATTAGTTCATCATAAAAATATATATAAATTCACAATAAACACATCAAATAATTGATTGATGTTTTTGGCTCGTGAGTCAGATCGGTTCGATTAGAACCCACCTTGGTCGGTTCAGCCAGCCCACAAGGAAAAAAATGTAATTTTTTTTGTAAAAAAAAAGGCTATTTGAACCACTGTCATTCCGCTAAATAAAAAAATCCCTCAACAACTGAGCAGGCAATGTGTTTTGCATGTAAACTAAAAGTTTAGATGTTAAATATGTAAATACATGACAATTTATTTCAATCCCGATCTTGATCCGAGACGAGGACATATCGAAATAAATTTGATCATTTAATTTGGCTCGTAGTTCTGCTCGAATGGTTCGATCCGAGCTTAAATTCAATCCGCTTTTCAAGCGATTTACGTTCCTCGATCCAATTTCATAGCCCCAATAGACCTAAATAATAATAAAACTATATCAAATATTCATCTATGAGCCCTAACTCGAGCTAGAAATAATCCATGCAAAACTTCTTCCTACTAAAAAACATAGTAATATAAATTACTCAAATTATAAACCCTTTGATAATAACAACATAGTAATATAAATGTGATATGCCCAAATTAATTTTTTAACATATTATAATAATATTTCATGATTAAATAGCATGCAAATATAAAATGCTAATTGCATTGGAAGATCAATCATACTCATGTAATGCATATTTTATAATTTAATCAATAGCCCCTAGATCATCAAAATAATTTAATCATACATCACAAATGATATGTTTTATGATAAAACAAAGAATGAGGAATAATCAATGAATATGCATGGTCATACATTATAAATAGATATATTTTATGGAAAATAGTATCCACATATTAAGACTCATGAAACACATATTTTCATGACGATTACTATGTACCATATTCTACTTATTCAATATCAATAAAAATTCATGTTATTAACACATCTAATAGAAGTTGAAGTGATGGATTGAAAGATTAATAGATATCATATAAATAAATGAGTTAAGTTAGATCACTTACAATGATTAAAGAAAGTACATCAAAAGATAGAAAATGGCTTCATATGCTCTTCTTGTCTTGTTCTTTTTCCTTTCTACTCCAACTTCTAAATAATATAACAATATTACCCTCTTAAAAGACTTCATTATTGCAAGGAATTTGTCAAAGATGTTATTTTTGACCGAGCCACTAATAATTATCTCAAATCAGCTTTATTCGTGTCATGACAATCATATTATTTAGGGGGCATTTACATACCACCCAATTCCCATGTATTTACATATAACACCTATACTTTTTACATCTCATAAAAAATACTACTGCTTTAACGTTGAAATAAAGTATTTCATGTTAGATATGTGTAAATACATAAGAATTGAGCAGTATGTATGTAAACCTTCCTTAATGATATGAGTACATCATATATTCGATCGAGTGAGCTAACAAACGACTACACACACACACACACACACACACACACACACACACACACA